AATCTCATATAGTTGGCCTCAGCCCATTGTACTAGTCTTGTATGAAGACTGGTGAGTGAAGCTGCACAGTTTCTTAACAAATCTTAAGTCTCAGGTATAAGCTCTGTGAAGCATTTTTGCAGAGTTGAATAAGAACTTGGCTAGCTACCTTCTTTTTTTTTTCTCTCCTTCCCCCCTACCCACACCTCCCTCTCTCAGACCCTGATGCCACTAGAAATGGGTGACAATGCTGTTCAAGCTGAAAAGCCTATGGACATTCCAAAAGAGCTGTGGATGATGGTGAATCACCTGTACCGCAATGCTTCCCAGCAGGTTGGCAGTGTTTGGACTGGAAACACAAAATAATTTGTTTGCATGAGGTTTAGTTTTGAAGAAGATACTGGTAATAACAATCATTGCTAACTGTGGATGTTTGGCCAATGGTAAAGAGAGCTAAAGGACATCTGTGGTAAGTGATCCTGGTGCACCAGGTTGCACTGTTTCGTGATGGTGACCTTATCTGCGTGTGGCATGCATCAGCAGCTGTCCTTCTGCATCACTCTCTACTGCAGTGTCACAACCTTACTAGGACTGCTCGTGGTGGGATTTGTGCTGATAACTACCAATTTGGAGAGATTTGTCCAGCCAGATTATAATGACATTGCTCTATTTACCCAAATAACTTTTATTTTCCTTGAGACTGACTAATGGTCTTCTTTGCAGGAGGACCTGTTTCAGCAGCCAGGCCTCAGATCAGAATTCGAGCAAATCCGAGACTGTTTGGACAAAGGAATGCATGATACCCTCCGTATCCTTTTAGACTGACGTCCGGTAAGGCTCACTTAGTGATCAAAGCTGAAAAAGATTTTATCAGTCTTCTATGCTCCACCATGGTTTTTAAATTACTGTCTCTCATCTCGGGGTAAGTGAGATCTGCAGTTCCTCGCTACTCCTTGTAATCAGTACGAATGCCTCTGCTAAGTCCTTGCGATGTTGATGAATGATTGTTGATGAATTACGTAAGTGTCCGACTGCCAACGGAAACAGCTTGCCATGTGGAGTCAAGTGATTTAACTCGAAGCTGTGAACAATAGGAGGAGTTTCGGAGACTAAGCAAAGATTAATGTTTCAGCAGAAATACGACCAAAATAGATCACACTGCGCTTGCCTCTTCCTTAACCGTCTTTGGATCAGTTGGCAGCAACCACTCGGTAGCAGAAGCCCTGCTGCTCTTTCTGGAAAGCCTGCCGGAGCCTGTCATCTGCTACAGGTTGTACAGCAGCTGTTTGGAGTGTGCCAGCAACTACCTGCTGAGCAGCCAGGTATTGCCGGCTTTGCTGTGAGACTGTTTTCTGTCTTTTTTGGAGGGAGCGGAGGCAAACTGTTTTATGCCAGACCAGTAACAGGTTTTTGCTCTCAGAAACTTAATCATCGGATAATAGAAAGGATCTAGAACTGGTGCTTCTTGGTTATGAAGAGCTGTTAGTATTTGCAGACAGGGTGGTGTTGGTAGTAGATAAAGCTGCTAAGCCATTGCCATATCTTCAATATAAATGTTGGTTTTTTTACCCCTCCTCAGATCATCTCTAACCTGCCAGGGTGCCATAAAAATGTATTTGAATATCTAATGGCGTTTCTACGAGAACTACTGAAAAATTCAGGGAAAAACCATTTGGATGTGAATATTCTTGGTAAGACAAGCAAAATAACCATTCTGTTCAGCGGGGCTTTGCAGTTTGTATAACAAAACACATTTCTCCAGAGTGAGTGCAGTCATGGCCTCTACTGTTTTGAAGCATTTACTAATGAGCAAACAGTCCATAGAGAAACAGTCATTGCAGTAGCCTGAAAAAAGTTGTAAAGTGACTCAGAGGTGCATGGGTCATCAGCTTTATCTTACCCCATTCTGAAGCCAGGCGCTCTCTCACTTTGACTGATTGGGGTTGGTGGAATTACCCTTGATATCCTGCTACTGACGGGGTCTTACTGTGTGTCTGTGTGGCTTTTTTTTTTTTTTTCCCCTCCAAAATGCAGCTAGTATATTTGGTGGCTTGTTACTTCGACCTCCTCCTGGACATCCTACGCCTGATATAACTGAAAAGAGGAAAGCTCAGCAATTTATCCATCAGTTCCTCTTGAGAGAAGACAATTTACCATGAGTTTCAGATGCAGCTAATCTGATTTTTAGATATCAAATTACTGTAAAAATACATTTTTGTACAGTATACTGGCTTTTTTTTTTTTAATATCACAGTATTTTATACAATCTGTTGCTTTTGAAGGTGCAGATCAGGCAGTTTGAATCAGGTGTCACTGTTTAAGCTGTAAAGTATATCAAAGTTCTAAATAAGCTCTATGTAGACAAGCAAAAATATGAAAGCTGATATTTACACTGTATTTTATTTAACTTGTATTAAAACTCAGAATTTTTAAGTCCTCGTTATTTAAATAAAAAGATCTCAGTGCATTTTTCCAGCCTCTCTCCCCATTTTTGATGTTGGCTGGTTTAGGCTCTTGTTTGTTGACAGTGATTTAAGTCCTGTTGTAAGAGGCCTGGAGCAGCCCCCCGCCGTGTACCGTGTCTTGGGTAGCAGTACGGATGCGTTACGTGAATCGTTCTGTAGTCTTCCACTCCCCTCTCATGTAACTCTTTGAGACCACATAGCAAGGTGGACCTGTGATCCAATGGTCTGCAAGAAAATGGGTTTATTTTAAAAACACGCGCCGGCTGGTGTGTCCGGCGGTGCATCTGGTGCTGCAGACGGTGGGAAGGGTGCGGGGGGAGACGTGGGTGCTGCCGTGAGGAACGGGGGCCTCCACCCCGGCTCCATCACCCGGAGCAGCTCTAGCTGCTTGTCTGGACATTTTTGT